ACTCCTCTGGAAATATACAATTATATTGGTCTTCGATTTAGTGTGGCTGAATGACAATTTCTGCTGTTTATCCATCCTTCTACTGTTGAGTAGTGAGAGCTGCCAAGGAACAAGAGGTCCAAGAGGAGCAAATTCACACTTGTCAAATCATTATGTAATGCTTTTACAAATGGATAAATATTTTCTGACCATCACACTGCCTGGCTCTTGTTTGCAGCCACACATGGTTGCTCGAAGGCATGGTTTACATCCTGATGCTCTCTATTCTATCCGTAGTTTTGCACAAATGATTGATGCTTCCCACATGTGCCAGTGTGTCCAAATCGTAACTGTGAAGGCCCATGTTTACCGAGGAAAGAGGCAGACAGCCATTAGTCATGTTCTTCCAGTTTCTGTTTTCCCCGCTCCAGCAGTTAGAAGGATGCCAGTACTTGTGGAACATGAATTTCCACCCTCCTGTTTGGACCATTCCTCACCTCAAGCACATCCCCCGCTATCATAGACCACAACAAGACCAGACAACTCAGATTTATATCCCAGATGCTGCCAAGTGCAGCTGTTTTCTCCAATTCCTGGCTGACAGCCCTGTACAAAGAGATACATCCAGGGGAACAGCACATCATGTGTTACCTTGGATGATCAGAGCACATGGCAGATCCGGTTCATACTAGGGTTCTCCATCATGTCATTTGAAGTAAAATATTAAAAGAGCACCACCTGTCCTATACCAATGCAAGCTCCCAGCAGCCTCTGGTCATCAATTTACTTGAACCCATGATTCTAACATCCCATGGGTTCTTCGTTGCTCCTTATCCCTGTTGGTGCACATATTTCACTCCTTCCCTGATGTTACCTTGTGCTCCTCCAACTCTATGCCACTCCTTGACTCTGGTGCCTCTTGCCAGGGAACTGACCCCGTGTACCAGCATCCCTGGAGAGAACGCTGGCTATATATATGCTGTGTGTGTAGCATTAAGAACTTGAGTGTGACAAGTATATACAGTGAAAGTGTGTATGAAGCTCATGGTAATGTTTAACCTGATCCCCCTTCCCTTAGAAGTAGGAGGATGTGCAGCTAAGGTGATGGAACAATAAACAAACAGAAAGCCAGCACAGCATAGCAGGTACAAGAACGAGACACAATATGGGATGTCTTTAGCTTGAAGTCTGAAGTCTTTTACCTAGTGAATATTATCCGAATTCCCTGTATCAGCTTTTCCTAACTAGATTTCCTAACAATCTGGACGTCGGCAGATTTTTTTTGGATGGCGACTCCGATCAGCCTCAGGCAGCATAGCCAACAGTGAGGAATGTGATCACAAAGATCTGGAAGGCACCAGGTTGAGCAGGAGCCCTCTGGCCGGCCTCTTGGATGCTTTCCATGCTCGCTGCAAGCTCTTCCCACTGCGGCACGGCCATCGCATCGCTCACTTAACTTACAGAGTTGTAACGCTTACAACAAGGTGGGCTAAGTGCAAAACACTTGGGCATGCGATGCACATGCTAAGTATTACTAGTGGGAAGCCATGTGGGGTGGGAAAACCCGTTCAGGTTAAACCCAAAGAACGAAAGGAAGAAAAAAATGGAAAGCTGCTAAATGCATCTCTTTACAAAGCCCAGCTATCTTCAAATAATGGCTAAAGCCCAGCTGTTATATGGAGGTCAAAAGCATCTGCCAAATTCATATGTATGGCTAGGGCAATTCACTCAAATGTCAATTATTATCCTCCTATCGCTAGTCATTATTTCTATCACCTGCAAAGCATTGAAAATACCTTCAAAGTGTGCAGAAGTCATTATGTCTCTCCTTTGTACCACACAGCAGGAGGAAAGATAACATCTCAAGCAGGATTCAGCACCGTCACTTTCTCTAAGCAGTACATGGTTTCTAGAAAGCTTCCTATCCTATACCATGTTCTCAGTCTAGCAGATCATTATGTAGGTTCATAAGAACCTTCGCAAGTTAGTCTGCAGAGGGAACAAGGACAACTCAGGAAGAGCCCGGGCAGAGCCAGCCCACTCAGCGGTTGTACAGCAAGAGTGCACAGCATTTATGTTCTTGAGGGCCACAGGCGGAATTGGCTGGGCAACTGAGCGCCGCACAACTGCACACAGCCAGAGGAGATGGGCTGCTTTGGGGTTCTGGGGCAGGGAGGAAAAGAAGCCAAGTCCCCCGCATTCCCTCCGTAATGCCAGCCCACTAGTAGCAGAGGCAAAGTTAAAGCCTCTTTCCCCTTCCCCTTTGAGTCCGTTTGGCAGGAGAGGCTGTGGATATTTTCCCCGAAAGAGAAGGCACAGTCTCTGCTTAATTACTTGGACCTTTTGTTCTGCGGGTGCCAGGTGGTGCGGGGACAAAGCGAGGAGGCACATGAGCTTGGGAGACAGGTAGACAGGATGGCTAGCAGGTGACCCAGGAAGCAGAGGAGAGAACGTTAGTCAAATGAAGAGAGAAACTGGGGGTTCTCTTTCTCCCAGGCAATGGGGAATTCACAGGCCAGAGTCAGAGCCTTTCTAGGGTTGGGTAGACTTCTATAGGTCTTTGTATCATCTCACCTCTATTCAGTCAGGAACTGCTCAGGCCATCTGCACTGAAGGCATCTGCACATAGCAAAGACCAAGCCACCACCATTTTTTCTGGTCCACTGCAAGAGCAGAAGCCACAGTTCATGGCCATCAGAACCCCATTCAGCGGTTACCTGAGGCTCACAGGGGAAGGTCCTCTTACAGAGTCAGATCTGAGCAGGAAGATGGAGATCAGTTGGGTCTATGCAGGTAAGTTTGTGGGGAGGTGGAGGTTCTATGTGGGATCCTTCCTTTGGCTCAGAGGATGACTGCAAGGCCATGTCTTCCGACTGGGGGAGCCCTGAACCCAAACGGCTGTCCTTTCCCTGGAAGAGCAGCCTCATTTTTGTTTCCATCTGAATATTCTCCTGTGTCCTGGAAAAGGGTGGGAGAGCAAGCACAAGAGACATTGTACTGCATCCTGGATGGTGCTGACTGAGGAAGAAACCTTGAAATAGATGGATCCATTTTTACTGTATGAACATACAGATGTATAGAACATATAGATGTTAAAAACCAGAGATAATTTGCAGAATATTTGGACCTGCCTGGTTTGCATTCAAGTGATAGAGATAGCCTTGGCAAGGTACAGACAAGAAACAAAAATCATTAATGAAATAATTATTATTATTAGTGTCAGCCAAACCAGATACTAAGTTACTAGCTGGTAAGAGTCAGTATTGCTGCAATTTCGTATCTGATGCCCTCCTTGTCTTACAAGACCCAGGAGTTGTGCCATCCCCACTTTGTGTATCAATAGTAATGGCCCAGTTCTTTGTCCTGAATTTCCACAACTGGCCCCTATAAATGCAGCACAGACAAACATATTGCTATTATTATCATTGTTGCTATGAGTATTGCTATTATTCATAGTCTGCATTTGTTCCATTCATATCCTGCCTTTTTTCCTCTTGTGGCTTCATTTTATTCTCACAACAGCATCCCTGCGAGGTAGGCTGAGAGTCTGGCCCAAAGTCACCAGTGAGCTTCGGGGCTGAGTGGAGACAAGAACCCCATTCTCCTGCATCCCCATTCCAACTCTAACCATCACACCACACTGGCTCTAACATAGAAAGCTGCTATGCCATGAAATGTTATTAAATTTAGTGAAGTCTCAGACTGGAGACATAATTGGGTGTCTCCATTTACAGGATATGCACCCACATCTTTGATTTCTTTGCACAAATATATTGCATAGCGAGATGTCAAACTCTCCCTGCCCCACCACCACTGCTTGGGAGACAATATTGGTAGAAATCATTCTCAAAGGTTGTGACCCTCTTTTTCAATTTTAAAAATAAAATTGTTCCACATATGGATCAAAAACTACCTTCCCATGCTGTTCCCCAAGAGAGTTCATCTGTGTATAGAGTATTGTCAGGCTTCAGTCACTGAATGTCACGGAAAGTAGGGCCAGCTCAAGGTATTTTCTAGCTGAAGTGGAACAGCAAGTGGCTGTCCTCCAAGATCGGTCAGGTTGTTTTGGTACCCGAAGCAGAAAACTTACAAGCGCCTCTCCACCTCCCCGGCAGCAAAAATGCAGCAAAGTACATTAAATAGCTATTATTTTGATGGCTTTTCAGGTCACCCTTAGCCAACTGCCTAAAGCAGCCACCTCACTCTGTGTAATGGTAGTGTAATTGTATTCTGAAAAACTTCCATACAGTACATTCCATATTTTGTGATAAGGACTAAAATGGTGCCCAAACCAGGAAGGGTCAACATTTATAAATAAGTTTATTCTTGCATTTTGTCTTCACTTCACAGATTTATTATATGAGCCAAAAACCACAATACAATTATAACTTCAAGAAATACCAAGAAGCCAAGGGATAAAAAGTTAAAAGTGGAATATGCAGAAAGTTCAGTATGACACTAGGCTGCTGCTTTCTTCAAGATGCCTGCAAGATATATTCTCTTTCTCTCTCTTTGGTGGTGAATGCAGACATTGATAATGCTGTGGGTAGTTTCCACATCTGGTTCTAACAGCAAGAAAACAGTTTCTGCATTAGAAGCAAAGTCAGCAGCTGCTAAAATATAATTTCTAAATTTCACTCATATGACCCTTCAGTCTTGTTGCTGTGTCTGAAGAGCACTTTCAGTAAGTATTTTTTGAGCAGGGAAAATGTGGTATAATTGTAAAAGTGAAAGAAAATCCCTTTTTAACATCTCTTTTTTTGCATTATTTAATTGTGCCACAGTGCCACCTAGTGGCTACATAGCCAAAAGGCAGGAAAGGAAATGCTCCAGGTAGAGTGCAGATCTAAATCCTGCAATGAAACCACAAGTAGATACAAGCAGATTAACACCTTCATGAATAAAAGCCTCATCATCCCTAAATAGGGGACATTACATTATCCGACTATTTAGCTTTATTACAGGCCCTTCTAAGCGGAAGGGGTTATTTTATGATATTGAATGTTTTTCTTTTCACTCACCTGTAATCAGGTTGTCTACCAGGGTGGTTGGCATGCAGAAGATTCCCACCAAGACATCACTGATGGCCAAGTTGAGGATAAAAACGTTGGTGACAGTTCGCATCTGCCGGTTCTTCAGCACAATGAAGCACACCAGCATGTTGCCGATCATGCACATGAAGAAGATAAAGAGGTAGGCAATGATGAACATGGCGGCCACTGGAGAGGAATGCTGGTAATAGGAGGAGAAGGTGTAGTTCCCTCTGTAGACGTGGCCGTGGCTTTCGTTCTTATGGAAAGGTGGACTGCTGTTCGTTGGGCAGGAAGTGTCACCTGAGGTTGGGGCAGGGAGGAAGAGGCAAAACATAAACTTGCAACTCAACGAAATAGACAGAGACCCCTTGCTGCTGCTGTGTTATGTGCCATCAAGTCATCTCCAACTTACGGTACCTTTATGACTGAGAGGTGTGTCCTAATGTAATGTCCTAGCCAGAACAACTCTGCACAGTTTTTGGAAATTCAAGGCTGTGGTGTGGCTTCCTGAGATGGAGTCAATCCATTGGATAATTGGTCTTCCTCTTCTTCTGTCTTTGACTTTCCCTAGCATGACTGTCTTCTCCAGTGAGTCTTGCCTTCTCATGGAGTGCCCAAAGTATGGCAGTTTCAGTTCTGTCATTTTTTGCTTCCAGGGAAAGTTCTGGATTGACGTGATCCCTGGGATACAACAGTGAAGAAAGGGCAGGAGCATTCCTTGGAGTCCTGTTATCCAGAGGTGCGAAATCTGAGGGCTAATTCTGGCCTGCCGCCGTCCCAGTCCAGCCCGCCAAAGTCTCCCAGAAGGCCATACTGCCTTCCCCTCATCACTGATGCTGTCCCAGCTTTTGGGCTATTGAAATGCCTCTCTTAATTATTGGCAGTAAGAGTAGAAGAGAGGCAATAGAAGAGAGTTGGAGGGTGGACCTGGAAGGAGTCCATCAGCTCCATCCTCCTGCTCAAGGCAGGGCTCCAAGTTAAAGAATCCTTAACGGATGGCATAGCCTGACTAAGCTGGGAAGGCAAAATGAGTAGGGAGCAGACACGGGACAGGACACTCCTGGGTCAAGGAGAAGACAGTACTCTGTCCCTAGTCCCTTTGGACTGTTAATTGGATTTGACTGGTTCCTTATCACAAAGCTACTTTGGGCGCTGTGATCTGGAACAACTGGGAGCCATTTTGTGGACCAACCAGTTTTCCTCCAGCCTTTCCTCCAGATGAGCCGGACTACAACCACTGGGATCTTTTAACAGTAGTCACACTGGCTGGGGCGAGGGCTAGTCAAGAAACACCTGTAGAGCACTAGTTGTGGTACGGTTGGGACAGCTGCATGAAAAGGTTTGGAGGGAAGAGTCAGCCGCAGTGAAGAGGGTGTTTTCCCTCGAAAGTGAAGGTGAACTGCAGCTACGGATCTGTTGTTCAGTGTAGTTCCCACATCAAATTAACAGAAGCTGGGCTGGAAGTAGACTTTGCATCCATCAGTGTCACAGGTGGAAAGTAGACTTCACATCCACCAGTGTCAGGGATTTTGCATCCACCAAAGGACAGCACTTTAATTGCTCCCATAGACATGATTTTGTGCCATTCTATGGGAAACTGTGAAGGACAACACTGTGACAGAAGCAACACATAACCTTGACCATAGCAATTTGGGTTCTTCGTAACTGGGAAGGGAAAAGCTTTGGATGTTATCCCCGCCCCCCACTCATTCAAACACAAGATTCATCTCTTGCATCCTATTGCACAGTCCTGAAAGGGCTATGCCATTTGAATTCTTCAGTCCTGAAGCAGTGATAAAGTACAAATTGCCATGATTTTCTTTCTTGCAACTCCTATGAATGTATAAACAAAGCATTCCAATTAACGAGAATGACTTGGGTTCTTTCGGAACTCTGTGCTGCTTTCCAGGTGCCGAGTAGTGTCCTCCGCTTTCAGCACTGCACAGAGGACTCGTGTAAACAGCAGGTTTTCCCATTCCTGGGTTGGCATCATGCTGCACAGACCAGGAGTGGAAGAAGTTTCTTACACATAAACAAGCAGGCTGTTTTCTCAGTGAAATCTCCCAGCTGTATGGACTGCAAAGGCTAGACTGATTCCCGCCAGATTTGGATTGCACGGGTTGTATCAAATGCTGAAGCAGCAGTTCCTGCCCTTTTCAGAGAGGGAGAAGGCAGAGTTCTGAGCCATCCTGAACCCTTGTAAAAGCATGAGATATTTTTGGTTTTAATTCACCAGAAATTAAAATGTCAAACGATTGCTTCACCATTGTGCCGTTCAGCCTTCTCCAGCATGGTACTCTATAGCTGTTTTAAGCTACAGGTGTTTTAGTAGTCCAAGCATCTGTACAGCACCCCATTTGAGAAGGGTAATTTGGTAGCTCTGATGCAGAGAAGCAACTACAAGACATTTTGGGTGCACTGGTTGCAGAAGGAGTAGAAAATGGATGGATCTTTCTTACTCACCCCCTTTTGTCCTCTCTAGTGGTTCAGAATAAATGCCTGACTTTAGCACACAGGAAAATGCAGCAAAAAGTTATTTCTATTTGCTAGGTAATCTTGTGCCACTACTCAATCCCACAGTCTTTGGATTCATTACATGAGAAAATACCATTTATTTAATATTTTAAATAAATATTTATTATATTTAAAGGACTTTGGATCAGACCCTTACACATCACATTTTTCTTAGAAAGAAATAAGAAACTGGACTCCTTACCTTCTTCATCCTCCATAATTCTGTCAGTTTGCAGCTTCTTCTTCAACTATATGGGGTGGGGGGGGGGGAGAGTTGGTTCAGGAGCAGAGGACCAGAACACTTAATCAGATCTGCTCCTTAATGTTTCCTTTCTCGAGGCTTAGTGTCTTTTTTTACAGAGAGAGGGCGATCCTATTATTTTCAGGGAAGGATGCGATCTCAAATTATAACTGTCCTGAGCACCTGCACACCCTTAGAATCAGTCACCCCACAGTTCTGAGGGCTTGGGATGACTAGTCTGCCTTCCTTCTAGTCTCACTTGCCCCAAAATACCAGAAAGAAAAGATGAAAGCCGACACTCTTTTCTGAGTCATTCAAGAATAGCCTCTTGACAAGCAGCCCAAACAAGCCATACAAAATAGCTGAAGTCCCCCAAGTAGTATTTCAGTCCAACAAATGGGCAAAGACTTGGCGAAGAGTCAGTTTGCCACTGTTCAGTGCTTCCCCGCACTAAGGAAACAAGTACCAGCAAATAAGCTTTTTGGAAAGCCTTCTAACTTGACACCGTCAGCAGCAAATTTCTCTCCACTCGGTTGGGCTTAGAGTGCTTCCAAAAATTGCAGCCCCTTCCTTACAGCAGCTGCAGGGTTTTCAAGCCCACCTGCAGTGGGTGGAGAGTTCAGTTCTGCCTCCAGTCCAGCTGCTGCCTTCAGCAGGCACTGCCAGCAAGCTTCGCTCTGCACCCGAGTCCACTTCCTCAGCCTGGTCTCAGCTCTCAGCCTCTGCTGCTTGGAATCTCTCTCCAGCAACTCACTGAGCTGAGAGGCAAGCCTGGAAGCTGCTCATATGGGGGGGGGGGGATGCATGATGGGCTGTGAGGGAGGGGGCACACCTCCCTCCCCACTACCATGGTTACGACAACACCTGGGCGATGCGCAGGCACACAGCCAGACAAGTCATCACCGCACCTGCAAGAGCTCTTCTCTAGCAAGCCGGCAAAGTGAAGGATGTGGAGGCAGAAAGGTGAACAACAGGCAAAATCCACTCGGCCCCCTTGCTTCCTGTCAGACTTCACTTGCTCTCCGTGTGGACGGCTCATCCATTTCACGTTTCCTAGCCAGGACGGCTGCTTTCCCGAACAATTTGTTCACGCACAGTACATCATGCATGCTTGTCCGAGGAATATTTGCACACCTGGCTTCTCCAAGACCCTTGCTGTGTCACCCTAAGATGACCTAGGGTAGGGAGAGGCAGACTTCCGGCCTGTGGGATCTACTTAGTTCTTATGACTATATTATTACTCTTATACTCATGGTGAAAAAGATGTATTTATTAATAGATGTAGAGAGCAATGCTATGAAGTCTGGGATAGCATCTAGGAACCCTAGACAGTTCAGAAAACCCCTCTGAGGCTGAGGCAAAAGCTCTGACTAGAAAAGAGGAGTCAGATTTCCAGCCCTCCCTCTCCCAAATGCCACAGACAGAAATATAACATTCTTTTGTTTAACTAAGAATTACTCTCTGCAACCAAATGGTGAAATATTCTAGAGGCAGTACTTAGGAGGGCTGGTTCTGTTCCATTGCAAACTCTTCTTTGTGTCGGGTGACGCTCCATGGAGGTGGACCTATTTCTGGGGGGTGGCATTCAGCAACAAGCCCAATTCCTGTAAAGCTCACAGTGAATGCTGCAATGCATTAGGAGCCCCCTGAACATAAGGGCCACCGGCCTCCTGTGACCCTTCCTGTGTTCCTTGCCACTGCAGCTCACCTGCTCCCTCAAAAAGCCTCATCCCTTCTGCCTTGCTGCCCATATCTTTGGAACTCCATCCTGCAACGCAGGCATGAGTCCGTCTTCCCTGTTTCCCTGAAATCCCTGCTCAATATCCCCCTTTGCTGTGAGGTCTGCATAGCAATTCCCTTGTTGCTATGCTCTAACACAGAGACGTTGGCCCTCGGGAATTGAGCATCAGGATGCTCAATTCCATTCCAGAGAGGCTCTTGGGGGCAACTTTCCAGGGAAGGGCAGGGCAGGGCTGGACACAGAGGGGTCAGGGCCACATGCAGAAGGGGTGAGGCCAAAACCCGCAAAAGTTCAAAAACACCAGCATCTGTTAGTGGTTACCACCAGCAACCCAGCTTTAAGAATGGAATTTCAACCTTCTTGAATGAGGGAAATGCTTTGCAAAGGCCAGGAAATGTTTAGTGGTTGGGAAAGGGGGTGGGGCCAGAGGAACCGGGCATGCCCTCCTCTTGTTCTGCCCTGTTGAATTTCCGCTTTTTGGCTCCTTGTGACAGAGACTTGCTTCTTGTACTCCAGAAAGCGCTGTGCACACAGACGGGGCTCATCCCGCTGCCACAGATTTCCACCACCTGCTGCCTGCAGTGGTATAATCCAGGAAGGACTGACCTACATACAATTTCTGAAAGTCTGAATCTGCTCATAATCCTTCTGGGTGAAGCAATACTCCTTAGTTTTTATTCTGATTGATGCCTAGCTGTGCAGGGGGTGGGAGGGTGTTATGTAAGTGTCATGTTTCATAATTGGTCTTATATTTCACCTAGGATTGGTGTTTTCAGTGTGGTGTAGAAAGCAGGGCTAAAGCGATCACACCTGAATTGGGTATTGTCAATCACAGCTCATTGTGCTGTTCAAATTCGGGCCAGATTTCCGCTCTGACTTCCTTTGCACATCAGTGCTCTCCAGACAGAAGGGATAACTAATTTTCACCTTGCATGCTGCTTATACATTGTTCTTGTGAGTATATGAGAGCTGTGTTTCCCACTACCCTGGGACATAAGATACTTTAAATCATTAAAAAAGAGGTTTTCCAATGTTCTGCCTTCAGGGAATCATTTTCATATTAATTTACTTTTTCAGGGGCAGCAGGTGCCCATTCGGATCACCAACTGGAGTGGGGGGATCCTTTTTTGGTTTGAGTGGCCCATTTGAAGTCTCCTCTTGGGGGATGGTTGGGACCCCCAAACCAAGCACTGAAGAGCTGCCTGTGTCTGGGAACTTGAGGCAGATCAGGGGTCTCCTTGACCATCAACTCTAACCCCTTGACATAACAGTTAACCTGCTGTCAGACTAAATGACGGTTTCAGACCATGCAATAACTCACAGTCGAGGGTTGAGTGTGATTGTTGTTGACAGCTGGTTTATCAAATTGTCTGAATCCAGATGCACTAACAAACCATGGCTTCTTAATCAGAAACAATCCATGAAAAGAACCCATGGTTTGTCGATTGTGAATTGTGGTTTGTTCATCATGGTTTGTTACCTTGGCTGGGTTCAGACAACATGCGAACCAATATTGCAACAGGACAACCCACATTCAACCAATCGGTAATTTTAAAGGTCAGGTGGTCATTTTGATAATTCCCATGGTAATGCCTCATGGAAAATCTAAAACTGCAGGCGGTTGAGCTGGTCCTTATCATCAAACCAGTCCTTAGGCCTTATGGCTTTTAATATCCATTCAAGACCAAGCCACTCCATGCTATAGGAATAGCTAACAACAATATATTCTTGCTGGAAAAAATCCATGTGTCCCTCAGCTACTGTGAAAATTTCAGCTATAATCAGAGGAAACAGGAAATTATCAGGGGACAATTTGAAGAAATAGCAATCATTCAATGGCTGCTCTGGAATCCGTTGCCCTTCCAGTCTGTTTAAACAGGGATTAACTGGTGGTCCAGTTAATCCTACTTTAATAGGTTTCTGCCACTACAGACTTCCTACCTTGACAAATTTCTATCAAAGCAATTCCCACTCAGTTGGATAGAACACCGTTCTTTTCCAGCTTGGGGCCCTTCTGGATGTGTTGGCTAACAACTCCCATCATTACCACTCCAAGGATAGCCAGTTGCATCTGGAAGTCACGAGGCTGAGGAAGTCTGGAGCAGAAATTCTAAGAAAAGCATGCAACAAGGGAGTCCATAGTCTCATTGCCCAAATTGGGAAATGAGAAGTCAGACACCGTTTCTCTCATTATGGCTGTAAGTTGTTGTCTCATAGAACAGTTCTCTACCAGCAGGTGGCTCATTGCTACAATTTAGCATGGAAACCCTTCAAGTATTAAGACCTGCAATTTCATAAAAACGTTCTTGAAAAGATGCGACTGCTCAGCAGCTAGTGGTTGCCCTTAAAGGTTCAAGATACCACTCAGATGAAATGCAGTCTTTTATTGAACCATTCAAAAGGTATCATTTTTATCCAGCTTGTATCTCCTAAGATTTGGGTAGAACTAAACCATTATTTCCATACTGGAATCACATTTAACCCTATTTTTCAAATTTTATTTGAAAGATCTGTTACCCAGCTTCCTGTAAAAAGTATAAAAATAAAAAAGGCATAAGCAGTTGTTCAGCTTGAAATTTTAAAAAAACCTGCTGAAAAGAGCCACCCTCAGAATTAAATACCTGCATAGATACTATTTGCATAGCTGGACAGTATGGAAAGATGACAGGCAGAATATAGATGGTGCTGGAGGAGAGTTTTGTGAATATCCTGGGCTGACATAAAGATGAACAAGTGGGTACTGGATCAAATCAAGCTAGAAACTGAGGCGGTCATGCTTTGGGCACATCACAGGAAGACAAGACTCACTGGAGAAGACCATTTGCAGTCTGAAATTCATCAACGGTGGGAAAAAAGGCAAGAAAGGTGAAAGAAGTAGGTCAACAAGGGAAGACCTACAAGGTTCTTTCTACTTTGTGAGTTTAAGCTTGCATTCTTGGTGTCCCAGCCCAGACCTCTGGTTTTCCCCAAACATTCCTGCCCCTTTCCATTATCCCTACCTCTTTTTACTCCATGGCAGAAAATGTGATGAATTCCAGGCTTTTGCATCTTTCATCACAATTATTCCTCTAAACGGCTAAAATGCTTCCCCTTGAATGTCCTTAATGGCAGTAAAAGCGTTAAGCTGACATTTTTGCATTCCATTTTAATTGCTTTAATGCATTTAATGCCCTGTGATTTGATAGGGAAAGCAGTATATACATAGTTGGATAAATGCTTTGGCATTTTTGCCCCCA